GGCAATTATAAATGTGCAGTTTTTGGTCAATATTATTCATGTAACATAATAAATTTTAAATAATTAAAACAAAGTATAATTTTTTAAATAGAAATGTTGTAATGCTCAAGCAAATATTGCATTGATTATTAAGTTCCAGGTGATCCTACCACTTAATCAGGATGCTTTCTTTGGGATGCATCTATAAACAGAATAGGGATAGATAAAAATGGATATTGCACTTATTAGGACTAACCAAATGCAATCAAGTAATATTTATTTAATAAATTTAAAATTAACTAAAATAAATCATAAAAAAAGATGTATATCAGGATAGTTTTGCTTAAATACTCGTTTTGGAAATTCATGCCAGTCTCTGTTATTATCATTTGATTAAAATAGGTTTGCAAGAGAAAGATTAACTGGTAAATGCCTTCCTTATTTAGATCCAAAATAAGAAGGACGTGATATTGAAACTTGCGTAGATGGTAGTTGCTTTTACACAGATCAAATTTCAAAGAAAAATTTCTGTCTTTCTTTGGGTATTTATGCTTGGGGAGATTTTATTGTTGGAATCGATATTTAAGGTTAGTGTTTAAAAAATGACCAAAAAACGACAGTTCGTAAATTTAAAAGAAATTATCAGTCAATATTTTAAATTATTTTTATCAAAAAGAAATAAAATCATGTTTAGGCCTGACATATTGTGTTCTTGATACTGGGTAAGTTAGATAAATATATAAATTATTTTGCATTCATTAATAAAAATCTTTAATTTTAATTACTTATTTTTTTTTTTAATGTAAGAGAGGGGGATTACAAATGTCAAAAGCTTCAGTTAAGTGACAATACATATAAAAATCAAGCTTATTAAGCAAAAAGTGTTAACTAAACTTGTTAAGGTCTTAACACAGGTACTTAAAAAACTTAAATTTTATCTCTTTAAGATTTCATATTAAAAAGAAAATAGTATTGGATGTTTAGATGGTTTATATTGTATAAATTAATAAACCAATAATAAATGCGAAATAATGGATTCTAATGACCCAAATAAAATAGGCAGAAACTTTTTTAACCAATAATGTCTTCCATAAGGAGCTTAAGTTGCTATAATTTGCCAGTAGTAATATTGTATATCTTCTGGAGCATGCATACCTTTATCAGATAGTCATCCAGGCTAAGAAAAATAAACATAAAAATGTTTGTAAGAATAATCATAAGGTTAGAATGGAGCCTCTAATTGTTATAAAAATGGGTAATATTATTGCAAATCTTTTGTTCGTAAATAATAAAAGTGGAAATTATAATATATTTTAAATAATAGGTACTGCTTATTTAAAGACCCCCTAACAGATAAAGCATCTTGTTACAAATTAGACTTTAGTAATCCAAATGCTATTGGTAAATTATAATAATAATTATTGAAATTATAGATATTTTTCTACAAATTAAATATTAAAGGTATATAAAAAGACACTTAATTATGCTTAGAGATGGGATAACCTTAAGCAGTAAATGTTAATTTTAAATTTAGATTTTATTAATTTATATTCATAATAAAGATAATGTGTGCAGTTGAAAAATATTGTTTAGATCAAACAACAAAAACCTGCTAGTTAATTGATACAACTAAAGGGATGTGTATTGATGAGAATGGCTTTTGTGTCTAAAACGGATCATGTTTTAATTGTGAACTAAAATAATGCTTGTCTTTATCAAATCAAAATAAATGTTAAGACCTTTTATCACCATCAATTACTTATTGCAAGGATAGTAAAGGTTGATATTATTTTAGATTATAAAAAAAGAAATTGAATTTTTTTAATTATATAATAATTTTTCCAAATTAATTATAAAGTATTACTATTTAGTAAAGCATAAACTAAATGGCGAAAATTAATTATTACATTATTGTCTTAATTAGTTGACCCAAATTAAAATTACAATCAAGACTCCAATTCTTAATCATAATCCTACTAACAAGTTGCAAGGGATTAATTTTAAAAATAATTATATTTGCTTTATTTCATATTATCAATTTTGCTAAGATTTACAAAAAAATGAATTATCACCAAAATCTATAAAATTGGATTAAGAGAATTTAAAATTAAAAATTAAAAAACAAAAAATTAAAATTTTGATTTTCACAACTAAGGTCTCTGAATGTTTTAGGCGTATGAGGATGTAGATGAGAATTTATAATATATTACATAATTTAATTAAAACATTTTTCAAACAATAAAAACTATGATTTCAATAAAATAAGAAATTAAGATCTTAATTAAATTTTTAAAGGAATAGTATGGGGATAAAATTAATAATAATAATTTTAAGTAGAGAGAATAAAATTTTTGATATATGTTTAAAAGCGCATATGAACTTTTAGCTGTGCAAAAGCTATTATTTTGCTAATTTTTTACCAAATTACTAAATAAAACTTTTTATCTAAATATTTTAATTAATTAATAAAATAACTGCATTTATCTAAAAATTAGGATTTTGTTAATAACTAGATTCCGGCCTTTGCGATATGTGTCCTGATAATTACTGCTTAATTAATAAATCATGTTTAAATTAAAATAGCTTATTAAAATTAGTTAATAATGGATAGTGTTTTGAACAAATCAAGAAGTTAAAAATCTGTGTAATTTAAAATTTAAATGTACCAAACTAGAATGGAAATATGAATTGTATGAATAATTAAAGTTTTTGTTAAGATATTTCTATTAAAAATAATGAATGTTTATCATGTCCTATGTACTTTATAAATCCAGGAGATTAAAAATGCTACAGCTTAGAATAAAAGTTAGAACATTCACCTTATCCTTAATAAGTATATTTTCAAATGCAATTGATTTATGTTAAATAAGACTGTTATGATTAAAACTTTTGCCTGGTAAATTAATCTCTCAAGTGTCCATTAGGGTATTATAATTTTATAATTTATTGATGATAAATATGATATTTAAAAATAAATTAGTTGTTATTCATGCAACTCTCTTTCTTTCTGTACTTAATGTATTGAAGGTTACTTTTTATATCAAGAATCCAAA